CTACATTCACTTATTTACATGGTAAAGTTGGACCTGTGGGGGCCTATCATGGGTCTCGTTTTGATAATCCGAATCGTTTAATATGTAGAATTCGTCTAGTACTATATGCCTGTAAAAAATCACGTCTATCAGATATCGCTAACTATATGATCAAATCAGTTTTGTATAAAAATTAGATGGTATTATAGTTAACAGTTGACAAAGAAAACAAACAGGATCAGATAGTTTTCGATATACAATCAATGTGATTTTTTACAAGCATATAAAACTCGACGATTTCTACACATTAAACGGTTCCGATTAGAAAAACGGGACCCATAGTGAGCCTCCACGGGCCGAACAACACCGTCCAATTAAAGCCCAAAAAGGAGGCAATTTTTTTCCATCGACACATCCAGCCGGCTGTCTGCCATTTCGTACGGTGTAGTACATTATCTTCTCCTACACATTTATTTATACAATTTTTTAATATATATTTTTTCATAAAAAATCAAAAAATTAATCCAAACATTGATATTTTTCTCTTCAACTTTTTAGTCCAAAAAAATAAAAAATGTACTTATTTAAGATACCCCAAACAAGCCCGGAATATAACGACTATCTATCATTAGGCAATTCAAATCTATTCTAAAGGTTTTGGCTATTCACTTCATTGATTGCAGAGTAAAACAAGGCCATAAAATTTCACAAACCAATTTTTTTTTTCTTACTAAATTAGCTGTATATCACCTACTTTTTTATTCATTTAATTTTTGACTTGGTTTGGATACACTCAACTTAATTATTTTTTATTTTCCCATTTGACTTGCCAACAACTTCTGGATTTTTGGTTCAATAGAAAGTTTAGTTATAGAAACTGTCTATCACGACCTGTCCTAGTTGATTCACGTTCTACCTGTCCAATAATTATGGAGAATAACTAATTTAAGAAAAATGAGACATATAATTACAAATCAATGAGAATTTTTTTGATACAAATTTGTAGGGTGTATCATATAAACTTGCATTCAAAACATAATTTATTGATTGTAAAATATTTTACAACAATGTTATACTTTCTAATTTATCACTCCTAAACCAACCCTAATACTGTGATATTGAGGTAAGACCCCACATGATACTACATCTCATAATTTACCTTCTAATAATTTTTTCATTGGTTAGGTTTTGACACCTAACGTCAGCCTCGTTCCCTAGAGCAAGGATCCTCTAGAGTGATTTTTTTCTAAAATTTCCTAGAGTGCTACATTGTGTGGTTGAAATTTATTGGCAAGCCACATCAATTTTTCTGATGTGACTTGCCAGTAAATCTCAACCACACAATATAACACTCTAGAAAACTTTAGGAAAATTTCACTCTAGAGGATCCTTGGTGCGTTCCCTAACCTTTCTCCATAATCCGTAAGATTATTTAAAACTATTGTAAGAATTATATCAAATTAAGCAATCAATTATGTAAGAAAATATAATAATACATATCAACAATCACAAGAAAAAAGACTTCCATAATGAAAAGAAAAGAAAAGAACAAAAAAATGCAGAGAGCTAAGAGTGCCTAATGAGAATAAATAATTATTAACTCATTCATCTCTCAATTAGGAGTATAAAAGAGTAACTAATTAAACTATTTAATTTTAGTTTTGTATATATCAAGAATTATCACATGAATCCAAAATATTGAGTAACTGTGTACCTAATCAATAGGTTTCGAGATTCACTAATATTTTGCTATTTTTTTAATGATATAAGTACTCTCTTATTATTTGATTGACACAACCCTTTGAAGATAAGATAATTACTTCGAATCCAATTTTTGTGACATAATTTTTCTACAATGAGTAGATTATTTTTCATTTTATATATGCAAGCAGTTTCCATGTTAACAAAGTAAATAATTATTCAAGTTAAAATTAAAATAAAATGACAAACTCATGCATCTTAAAAGGACATAATTTTGCTTTAACTATTAACATGGATAGTTGAATTACCACAACAAGATTACTGTAAAACGGTCCATTATGAAAAATCCTGTTCCAATTACTGTATATTAATAGATTTTTTTTTTAACAATTTAGTAGATATTTATTTATGAATATGTACAATTACACATAAAAAATTGTCGGTGAAATGCCCGCGAACTCGGCCACAAGTCGTTGACTAACATACCCGTCAATGGCAACGCAAAATAGCGGCAATCAAAACAGTGAAAAGCTTTAGTTCCAAAAAAAAAATAAAATTGAAAAGATAAAAACTGCTTGCATATATAAAATGAAGTGGAGACAAGCAATAACTGGACAACAGAACATCTCATGGGAAGAGGTAGTAACTGTTAATCCAAACAAAACAAAAAACAAAAAAAAAAAAAAAAAAATGAGTTTCAATATCCTATCAAACGCCTCTCTTCTCTCTCTGTCTTTCTCTCTGTGAAAACTGCCAAGATAGGTTTAGGGCCAGTCCAAGTTGATGTTTTTATTGCCAAAATAGCAGCAAGAAGAGAGAGACAGAGGTCGATATGGGCAATTGCTTGGGATCTCAGGCGTCTGCTGATTCAAACCCCAGTCACACCAACCCCAGCATCACCACCACTGCTCCTTCCACTTCAGGTACTCTTTTTCTTTTTCTGGGTCTTCTGATTTTCCATGTATTTTCTCTTTCCTTTTGGGTTTTCAATGAAAATTCTTTCATTTTCACTCTTTTGTTCCAGTTAATCTTGTATTTCCCACCTTTTTCTTGTTCAATCACCACATGGGTTCTCTGTAATTTTCAGTTTTCTGAATGCTATCTGTTTTAATTTCACTTTACACATCAGAAATTAAATGGAGACTCTTTATATTTTTCTTTGTTTTTGTTATGACCCAGAATCAATTTCGTTGTTCTTTTGTTAATTGAGTGGCAAACCCATTATCAATTGTTTATTTTTGTCTGGGTATATTTTCAGGGACATCTAACGGTTACAGTAACGGCGGGGTATTTTCGGTGACGAGCAGCAGTGCCGGCCAAAGCCTATTGTTTGATGGATAATGTGTCTATTTCTATATCATCTTTTAGTTTGTTTTAACTTGTCTGTGGAGGGTTTCACTTGGTCCACCATTATTTGCTTGGCTTTGTTGCGAGTCTTGGTGGCTCTGTCCAAAGATCTTTTAGTAAATTTTCTTAGATATGATAACAAATCAATGATGAGAATGTAAATATATAATAATTACATCTAACAAGCATTGCACGAGTTGTTGACAATGTCATTTAGTATTCTTCAGTTCCATATTTTCTTTCAATTTATAGGTGACAAAATTCTACCTTTTGTAGTCAAGTGGCCGATATAAATATAAATGAAAAAGGAAGATGAAACTAAGAAATGAAGATTTTCTGGTCACCTTCCGTGCGAAAAGAATGTAAAGCAATGCCCTCTTTCTTTCTTCTTTCTTGGTTCTTTTGCAGGTTTCTAAACCTTTAAGCTTGCAATGATGCAGGCTTGATATTCACCTTGCAGCTTGTATCCAAACCTATGATTTTTTCGGTTTTGTGTTAGGCCTAACAGTCTTTGGCTGTGACTTGGGGCCTCTTATTTTTGATTAATTATACTCTAGATGAAAGTTAATGAGATCTTTTTTGGTAAGTGATTTAATGAGATTTATTGCCCTAGAAATCAATATAGGAGTTTTAAGGGAAATGTAGAATATATTTTGTTTTTGGATCAGTGTTCCTAATGGTTCATGGAGATAGTAGTAGACTCGTGAAATATCTATAACGTTTACGTTTTCAGTTTATATTTACAAAAATTTTATAAACTGGTTTTTGTTTATTTTTAGAAAAACATAAATTACAAACGTGTTTGGTAATTAACAATGTTTAAAAAAAATATAAAAAAAGTGAGAAATGGCAATGGTGGCAAGTGGCGGCGAAAGACGGTAGTGGAAAGTGGTAACGGTGGGTGGTGAGTAGCTGGTGGCGGGTGAGTGGGTGGTGGTGGGTGGGTGGGTGACGGTGGCGGGTGGTAGCGAGTGGGTGGTGGTGGTGGCAGGGGGTGGTGGTGGCGGGGCATAGAGGCCATTAAAGTGGTGACATGGGAAATGCCTTTTTAATGATAAGAAAACTTGCTTAGGTAAATGTCACTGTATTGTAAAAGCAATTTGAGGTCTCTACTTTATTAAATGTCTTGATTGAAGGATTTTTATTTTATTTTTTGGCCAGATTGTTTGATGGACATTGTGTCTATTTCTATATCATCTTTTAGTTTGTTTTAACTTGTCTGTGGAAGGTTTCACTTGGTCCACCATTATTTACTTGGCTTTGTTGCGAGTCTTGGTGGCTCTGTCCAAAGATCTTTTAGTAAATTTTCTTAGATATGATAACAAATCAATGGATGAGAATGTAAATATATAATAATTACATCTAACAAGCATTGCACGAGTTGTTGACAATGTCATTTAGTATTCTCCTGTTCCATATTTTAATTCAATTTATAGGTGACAAAATTCTACCTTTTGCAGTCAAGTGGCCGATATAAATATAAATGAAAAAGGAAGATGAAACTAAGAAAATGAAGATTTTCTGGTCACCTTCCGTGCGAAAAGAATGTAAAGCAATGCCCTCTTTCTTTCTTCTTTCTTGGTTCTTTTGCAGGTTTCTAAACCTTTAAGCTTGCAATGATGCAGGCTTGATATTCACCTTGCAGCTTGTATCCAAACCTATGATTTTTTCGGTTTTGTGTTAGGCCTAACAGTCTTTGGCTGTGACTTGGGGCCTCTTATTTTTGATTAATTATACTCTAGATGAAAGTTAATGAGATCTTTTTTGGTAAGTGATTTAATGAGATTTATTGCCCTAGAAATCAACATAGGAGTTTTAAGGGAAATGTAGAATATATTTTGTTTTTGGATCAGTGTTCCTAATGGTTCATGGAGATAGTAGTAGACTCGTGAAATATCTATTAAGTGGCTACCTGTTTTAGAAATTTTCCTTGATCTTCATCTGCATAGTAAAATCAATTTTAGTGAATCTAATGGTCTGTTTGTTGGAAAATTCAGTCAGAAGTGAATTTTCTGGGAAGGCTTTCTCATCCGAACTTAGTGAAGCTGTTTGGGTACTGTTGGGAGGATCAAGAGCTGTTACTTGTATACGAGTTTATGCAGAAGGGAAGCACGATCAACCATCTTTTCAGACGTAAGAACTTTAGCAAAGAACAAAAGAAAAGAAAAGAAAAGAAAAGAAAAACTAGCTGTCCATGGTTATATTGCATTGAATTGATTGCTGGATTTTTTTGGTTGTGCAGGGAGTTCTGCTGTTGAGCCACTTTCTTGGGACATACGGCTCAAAATAGCCATTGGTGCAGCACGGGGCCTTGCTTGCTTGCACACATCAGACAAGAAAGTCATTTACAGGGACTTCAAAGCATCTAATATACTGCTTGATGGGGTGAGAATTTATATGATCGTGCCTCGTAAGTTAATGAGTTGGATTTTCTACTTGTGTTCTGAAAAGGCTCTGACAATAAGAATAAGTAGGAAAAGGAACTTTGAATATGGTGACTATCTTGGAATGGAATGTGTGTCCTCTGTTTGAGTGACAAGGGAATGTAGGAAAAGAGTTGAGTACATTTTTTTTTTGGGTCGGGGGAAGGGGAGGGGAAGAGGATCCCGGGGCTCGAACCTGGGTTTTAAGCTTGGCTTACCCCTAGGTATCCATATATTTTTTTTGTGCAAAAATTTTTATCAATTAGAGGGGGAGGGAAAGTCAAACTTGTGACCTCCTCCTAGTGAGGAACGAATCACGAATTCTGGCCAGTACTTGTTATTTGTGTTTTCTTAATGACAAGGTCTATAATAAGCTCTCAAGACTTGGGAGAGTAAATTGAGCACTTATCAAGAATACAGGGACTGCCATTTCATCTTTTTAAATCATTCAACAAAACAAGCAGTGTATCAACATCACAATCATGTAGATAGATATTTCCTCTAACGGCATTCATGTAATGAGATTCATCCTTTGCATTTTCCATTGAAACAAACATGACCTAAGATAAAATGGGGCAAACATGGAAAACAATTATTCTGAAAGCTTTTGTGTGTTCTGTTTTCTTTTTACAGAACTACAATGCAAAAATCTCAGATTTTGGCTTGGCGAAATTGGGGCCCTCAGGTGGAGAATCGCATGTGACAACACGAGTTATGGGCACATATGGTTATGCTGCTCCAGAATACGTTGCAACAGGTAAATATGAATCTTTTTTTGTTAAAATGTTTAGAGAATTGAACCATAGAAATTATTCCCAAAAGACATCTTCTATGAACAAGCACATGAGAGGCAAAGGTTCCTGCTTATATGTTTTATTTGGTCGATAGTTCATATGATCTAGGTCGAAAAATAAAAAATAAAAGAACCCCGCCCTTGTGGTAAAATGAATTAGTTCAAATTTTCAACAGGTCATTTATATGTGAAGAGCGACGTGTACGGTTTCGGTGTTGTGCTGCTGGAAATGCTGACAGGTTTGCGGGCACTTGATTCCAAACGCCCCAGTGGGCAGCATAATCTGATTGATTGGACAAAGCCCTTTCTCTCCAACAAAAGGAAGCTGAAATCAATTATGGATGTGCGGATAGAAGGGCAATATTCTTCAAAGGCAGCATTGATTGCTGCTCAACTCACTCTTCAGTGCCTGGAATCAGAACCTAGAAAACGCCCCCCCATGAAAGAAGTTGTAGATATCTTAGAACGGATTGAAGCCATGAAGCAAAAACCAAAAGAATCCCAAGCCATCTCTACACACTCTACAGCTCATCGTCATGGACATCGACCTATTCATCATCATCATCATCGTCATCATTCTTCGCTTCACCCGAGCCACCATGGCATCAACTGAGCCAGAAAACAATCAAATTGAGTGAGGTAAGCTGATAAATTGGATCGATGCAAGATTATGTTAATGCAAATTGTTTTCTTTTCTTTTCTTTGTTTCTTTTATTTTGGCGTAAAAATTATTGTCAATTCATTGTTTTATCATTTTCTTGGAATTCTTTTCATCACAATATTTTAGTTACCACTTGTATTTTAGATCCGATGATTGTGTTGTAAACTCAACTAAGATTTTTCTAATATTATTTGTTGTTTAATGGATATGGGAACTATAATTGTTTCTAGCAATCATTGTGACTTTTGACATTCCATTTTATTCACAGAAACGATCTAGATCCAAGCAAGTGATATGCAAATAGAAAAAATATAAAGAGTTTGTACACAAAATGATAGTGACTGAATTGAGACAATTGTTTGATGATTGGTGTGGATAGTATTAATCGTGTATTCCTTGTAAAGTTAGAATTGTACATATGCATGGATCGTTATTTTGGTGTGGATAATATTTACCATGTATTCCTTGTATAAGTTAGAATTGTACAATCATAGATGTTATTTAAGGAAATAATAAAAACAAATAATATCTTCTCATGTACCTGAGCCCAATAATATAAAGCCGTTAAATTTTTTGATAATATAATAGTGTTGTTATGACTATTTGATTTAATCAGGTTATTACACAATCCCATATTGCATGCATTGTCTTCCAAATTTTGGGGAGGGAGAAATTTTAACAGACAGCAAAACAAGCCTCCTCCTTCCAAAACCACTCAGAGATAATAATAATTATAAAATGTGTTCAATAACCCTATAAGAAAATCAAGAAACCCTGTTTGAGCGAATTGGGATCCTCCCTTTGCACTCCCTCCTTGCAGGGCCTTCGGGCTCACTTTTAGGTCCAATTTTGATAATTCGAACCGTTCATATTTTAAGATTTATTCAGTATATCATACCTGTAAAAAGTCAAGTTGATCGGATATCAGAAAGTATGTGTTCGGAAAACTGTTTATTAAATTCATTAAAAAATAGTTTTTAGTTCGATTTTTCCAAACATATGCTTTTTAATATCCGATCAACATGATTTTTTACAAGTATGATATACTGAATAAATCTTAAAATATGAACGGTTCGGTTTATCAAAATTGGGCCTAAAAGTGGGCCCAAAAGCCCTGTAAGGAGGGAGTGCAAGGGGAGAATCTTGATTCTGTTTGAGCATCCCTTCTAGTCATAATCAAAATCACTGTCTGTAGGATGCCAATCCATCATCCTCTGAAATGCAACCTCCTCCCCCTGCTTCGTGCATAGCCATTCTCTCTCTTCACACTTCCCGTTATCTTGGACTCCACCTCTTTCCTCCCCACTCTCACTGCCACCATTGTCACCGCCAATGCCCATGCTTGCAAAATCTGAATCAACCTCATAACTGTTAAAAACTGGTGGTGGAGATGATGGTAGACTATCCAATTGCAATTGCGGTGGAGCCTAAAGTGGCCACATAAAGCTCTGTCGGAGTGGAACTCCCTCGAACACACAAAACAACAAATCGGCCCTTGCAGAGGGTTAGTGACGCCAACTGCTGAAGCAGTGTTGGAAACAGCAGCATCAGGAATGGTTCCTCGGGGAATAAACAGTAGGGTTTCAGGTTCTTCGGCAGGGGCAGGATTTGGAATGAATGAACGTTCATCTCTTTCTGTGGAGGCATAATTTTTGAATGACAACACATGGCCGAGGTGACACTGAAGTGTCGGTCGAGGTGACATCGAAGTGTTAGCCGAGGTGCCACGCGTCCTGGTCATGGCGCCAATATGATCTCTGCTAGGCTGAGGTTATCTGTGAAGATACCGGAATCCGGGATAAGCGGATGAGGGACAAAAGTCCTAGAATGAGAGATGACTTCAGTTTAGGTAAAGATAACACTCTTAAAGAGTTTATCCCAATCCTACTGGGAGTCCAAGATTAGCAGTAATCCTAAATTCATTGAAGCTAGGCTTCTATTGGGATTAGGTAAATGTTGGCTATAAAAGAGAGGCACCCTCATGGGTCTAAGGTATATTTTTTATGATCTGAATAGTGAGTTAAACACTTTTGCTATCTTTGAGAGATAACTGACTTAATCGTTTGAGTGCCCCCAGGTGGATGAACCACTACTGGAATCTCTTCTTTTTGTGACAGGTCGTTCGGGCTTAATCTATTCTGCCAGTGTTTTTCAGTTGAGTGCTTGATTGGCAGTGTGGTCAGAAATTGACACACATAATTTAGCGTCGTCTATGGGAAAGAAAGGAGAATAGATGGCCAATGACAGACAGAAAGAGAAGATGGGGAACGACATTCCTACTGGGAGTGGGAAACATATTAACCTTGACGTCGAAGAAGACAACTGCAACGAAAAGACTCGTGATAAGAATCACGAAGGAAAGGATGTCACCTAGGAGGGCGACGTGCCGAAGAAATCAGACCGAAGCGAGTACTATAACGAGGATAACCTCCAGGTATGGAAAGATAGATGCCTACGAAGGGACGACGAGATGAAAGGAATGACAAACAAATTGGCGGACCTGCAAACGATTGTCAATTTCATGATGCAGAACAACGTCATGCAGCCACCACTCCCGCTACAAGAGACGCCGATTCCAGCGGCCAAGAAGGATGCCCGGAAAAAAGGGCAGAAAACGGTTCCTGCAACCCCTCAGCACGACAGGACCAATGGACATTCTCACTGGCCTTCGAGGGAGGTCGGGCATGGAGAATCGACGAGAAAAAAAATCCCAGAAGACACGTCGAACCAAAGAAGCCAGCACCAAGGAACATCGGGATGTTCAAGGAAAAGAACTCTGTTTTGACACGATCAATGGAGGGAAGTCCAAAAGGACTCATAATGACACTGGCAGTAGTGCACCAAAAAGGCTGAAATCCGGAGACAGCCGAGCCCTTGGGCGGACCAAGGAGGATCTGAGGGATTACCTCCAGAGAAAGCGACAAGATGCCGAGGTCACTTCTCCGGTCAAGCCGAGAACGCCGTTCTCGGTAGAATTGGACAAATTCGAAGCCCCAAAGAGGTTCCACATGTCGAGGTTCCAGAGATACGACGGTAAGTCGGACTCTAACTTTCACGTCGGCTTATACCTAAACTCGATAGCATTATACATTGGGAATGAGCCGTTGCTCTGCAAGGTGTTCCCCTCGTCCTTTGAGGAAATAGCATCAGATTGGTTTCACAAGTTATAGAAAGGAACTGTGAAAACCTGGGAGGGCCTGGACGAGATATTTGTGGCCAGGTTTGTGATGAACAAACTATAGCCATTGAGGGTGGATTCCCTAATGGCTCTGAGAATCAGTGAGGATAAAAGCTTTAGGGCCTATGCCAAAAGGTATTATGAGGTGTTCAACCGAATACCCGAGTGCAACCAAGAGGTGGCGGTCGTGTCTTTTAAGAACAGCCTGAAAGATGATTGTCCACTTCGAAAGTCATTGGCAAAAACATTGCCAAAAAGTATGGAGGAACTCATGGCCAGAATTGAGAAATATGCCAGAGCCAAAGAAGACACGCCGGGGACAAAGGCGACAAAACCAAAGAAAAGAGAAACGGCTCGCCGAAGCGAGGCCGGGGTAACACTGGACACAGTAAGTAAGAAACAGGATTAAGGGCTGCACAGGCAGTCACAACTAATCCCTCTAACCTAGGGGCAGTTATGTAATATGACTGACCGGACACTTGACGATGTTTTTGATTGAAACATGACGAGTAACTTAGACTTATTATATGGCAGAGTTCCTATTTGCATATAATAGAGTTGAACTAAGTTGGCGATATTTTTGATTGAAAAATGACGAATAACTTAGACTTATTATATGGTAGAGTTTCTACTTGCATATAATAGAGTTGAACTAAGTTGAAATAACCTGGACTTGCCATATCGGCAAAGTCAAACACAGATTGAAACTAAGTGCATTTGGGTAAGATTAATAGAAGAACCAAGGTTAAGAACATCGGTTAGTCTCTGTTTAAATATAGACTTCGGCAACGAGGTCAGAGCCACAGGCTTAATGAGACCCCAAGTGGAACTTAAGTTCACATTAGGGGGCAGAGGACAGGAGAATGATCTTGGGAGTTGGAATTTTCAAGCCGAGGTCATGTTTAACACTTGTTGAAATTTATGAAAAATTTACAAGTTGAAGTTAAACCGATGTCATGTTTAACGCTTGTTGAAATTTATGAAAAATTTACAAGTTCATGTTTAACACTTGTTGAAATTTATGAAAAATTTACAAGTTGAAGTTAAACCGAGGTCATGTTTAACACTTATTGAAATTTATGAAAAATTTACAAGTTGAAGTTAAACCGAGATTATGTTTAACACTTGTTGAAATTTTATGAAAAATTTACAAGTTGAAGTGAATCTGAGGTTATGTTAAAGGAAGATTGGTTTAAACACTTGTTGAATTTTTTTTTAAGAAAAATTTACAAGTTAAGCCAATGTTGTATTGAAAAGAAGTACCCATGTACTTGCCGAAATAAACCGATAATGGTTTAACCGAGGTATTCCACCCCGAGGAGGTTGCACATTTAAGGTGTACATTGAAGACATGCAAATTATTCTAAATATGGAATCATGCAAGAGTAAAAAGAAAATAAACATTCAAAACGCTTGAAAGGAAAAAAAGTTGTACATGCATTCAGACAAGGAAAGAAGGCACTTCGGCCTGATATTTAAGAATAATTGTTTAAATGGCATGTCGGCCAAATTAAAGCTTACATTGTTTCAAAAAGTAAGAAAAAAGCACAGGGAGAGAGTTTTGCAAATAGTGACTCACCAAAGAAAATGAAGCAGGTGTTGAGTACGCCGGAGTCAGATGATGGCAGCAAACGGAAAAGATCAGCAAAAACCTCGCCGGAAGAGGTGAACGGCAGTAGTTGCAGAGCTTGGAACAATGGCGAAATTGGGAGAGTAGAGAGAAAGAGTTAGCATGAAGTTGAGGATGCAAAAGTGAAACGACGAAGAGAGAGAAATGGTTTTGATTAAAACCACGAGATGGCAGCAAAATTGCAATCAATGTGCCTAGGGCAACATGCTTGTCAGACGGCACACGCAGACGCTGGGCGACTTTATGGCGCGTGTCAGGTACGGTCCAGTGGTGAATAGACGCATGGAAAAAACGGTTGAGTTGTTGTGCGTGACAGCTCATACGCGTGTTGAAACTCTTGGAGTTCTTGATTTAATGGAGAAGGACCTCGGCTTGGAGAATGATCTCGACCAAGAAGCTTGAATAGACTTGATTATTGGTTCTGA